TAACAGTCCCCTTTCAGGAGGCCAACTGGTGCGTGAGGATGAAGGGAGAGATGAAGTGGAAGGAACTATTGATCTTGGAATCCTGGGTCCTGGCTTGGGTATTGACCAGTTCTGTGACTCTGGACAAGTCACAGAAATGCTCTGAGCCTTAGTAACATCATCTATAAAATGGGGACAATATTTCACCTAGTTCACAGGACTAAGCAATAATTAAATTACACAAAAGACTCCAGACACACATGCTTAACACATTGCCAGGTATACGGTAGGCACTAGATAAATATAACCTATTTTAACCTTCCTCTCTTACCAGGACCTTCGACAAGTGTCCTACTTTCAATATCTTGTTCAGTTAGTCGCCAAAGTCAGGGTTCAGTCTGTGATCAGGGCTGGGGCTCAGGGTGTGACCAAGGTCAGTCTCAGTCTAGGACCAGGGTCAGGGCTCTCAGGCTCATGCAGGAAAACCAAAGATCCTCAGTATGACTCGATGGCCATGATCTGTGCACTGCCCTTCCCACCCAGGCCGGGGCCAGGCATGCCCATGTGCACGGAGGGAGCAGCCCTCCCCCTCCCAGTGTTGGCTCTGTCCCTGCTCATTAGCTCTGGGCAGCACGCTTCAATTGGCAGCTCAGCCATCCAGCCTTTGGCCAATGGTCAGAACCCCACAGGCTGTCTCTGGCTGGCTCCTTCCCCACACACTGCCCACTGGGGCATCCCACCTGTCAGGACCACTGCCTTCCTGGTCCCTGCTGTGCTCTGACTGGCAGATGTCTCTGTGCCAGGCTTGGAGGCAGGTGCTGGGGAGACTCCAGGCCTGAGCACTGGCCCAGCAGGTCTGGGCGTAGAATCTGTCTTGGGTGGTATAGCTGGGACTCCTACTGCCTCTAAAGAACTGAGATTGTTTCCCAGGCTAGAGCACAAACCAGCCTGCAAGACTGGAGCAGCATGGAGGCCAAACCTCACATCCTGACCACGGAAAGATTGAACTCAGAGAGGGCCAGGGACTGGTCTGAGATCACACAGGGAGTCAGGGGCAGTGGGCCAGACTCTGGGTTTTCCTGATCCCATTCTGGCTTCTCTCCACTGCCCTGAGGCTTTCTTCTAATAGGTCTCGCTTGCCCCAGTGAGTGCTACGGGGCACTTTACCTGTCAGCATCTCCTCCGTGTGGCTCCACTGTCTCTACAGCCTTCTGAGGCACGTTCCCAGGTGAGGTATTCAGCCATTGAAAGGTAAAATAACTTTCCCTAGATCAAGCTTTTTCTAGATCAAGCTAGAAATGGGGCCAGATTCATTCATTCATTTGTATGTTCATTCATTCAATATTTGTCGACAGTTTCCTATGTTTCAGATACTGTGTTTAATAGTAGGGATGAGGCCCTGGCTGGTGTAGCTCAGTGGATTGAGAGCTGGCCTGCCAACCAAAGGGTGGCAGGTATGATTCCCAGTCACGGCACATGCCTGGGTTGCCAGCCAAGAGGCAACCACACATTGATGCTTCTCTCCCTCTCTTTCTCCCCCCTTTCCCCTCTCTAAAAAAATAAATAAATAAAATCTTTTTAAAAAATAGTAGGGATGAGAGGGTGAGCAAAACAGATGTGGTGGTTGCCTCTGGAACCAGTGGGGCACAGTGGAGGGAGACACTGAGGAAGAGAAAGCCAGTGATCACATGAAAGCACAGAAAACATGTGAACCTCTGACTGTGACACTGGAGAAGTGCACAGTCCCATGGAAGCATGTAATGGGCGTTGGGGCTTGGATTTAGCCTGGTCTGGGAGGTTTGGGAGGGCCTCCTTGAGGAGGCAACGAATGAGCTAAGATCCAATGAAGCGAGGGAAAGGAATAATGTTCTGGGAGAGGCAGTGTGCAAAGGCCTGGGATGGGAAGAACCAGGGTGTTTTCAGAGAACAGTGAGATGTCTGGTGTGACTGAAGCAAAGAGAGGGAGGTGCGGGGTTCATGTCAAGGAGCCAGCAAAGACCCACCCATACTGGACCCTCATCCTCTTTATTCTGGGAACAATAAGAACCCACTGGAGGGTTCAAAGACTGGATTTCTACTAATTCTGTAGTGTGGTACCACAGAATTAAATAGTAACCTGCCTTTGAAGTGGGTTTGAAGAAGGGCAAGATCAGAAGTACCAGGAGTAGAAAAAGAAAGCAGTGGTCCAAGGTAGTGGAGCTGGTGGAGAGAAGCAGCAAAGTTCAAGTTAGGAGAGAAATTGACAAGCGTGGGGATGGATTTGATGGGGGTGAGGGAATGATTACTGATGACAGAATTGGGGTGTGACAATGTGGATAGTATAAAGAAGAGAAACCAAGGGTCGAATCCCGGGGCAGGTCAACATTTAACGCTAGGCAGAAGAGATAGCAGGTGCACAGACAGGAAAATAAGAGAGGGTGCATCTTGGACCTGGAAAAGAAAGAACTTCAGGCAGGGTGAGTGTTCATGAGGGGCTATTGCCACTGAGAGATCACGAAAGGGGAGATGGCTGCTGAAGGTAGGGCAAGGCAGAAAAGTCACTGTGGCTTTAGAGAAAGCTGTTTGGTCGGAGTAGTGGGGTCAGACTGGAGGCAGGTCAGTGGCTCCCAGGGAAAGACGCAAAGTCACAAGATGAACCAAGTGGAACTGTTGGCTGGGACAGTCGTCACTGGAGGATGCATCTTATTACTAGATTGGCTCAAGGCTGGAGCCTGCTCAGTGCTGAAGCGACCACACCCCAAACTAGGGAGGGCCCCATCTTTGGACTGAGCCTGCCCCAGTTCCCCTCAATGGGCTGAATGAGTGAACAGCTCTGGCCCTTGTGCTTCAATCCCAACCCCACCCCCCACCAGCATGGGCCTGTCTGTTGGGGAGGGTGGACGGGCAGACACAGGCGTCCCCAGCGTCCCCCCTCTAGTTTGAGATGAGACAACGTGGGGCAGCAATGGCGGAGAGGAAGAAGCTAAGCCAGGAGCCCAAGCTGAGGGCAGGAGAAAACACAAGCAACAGAAAGATGAGGAAAAATATTTTGGAAGAACGTGAAATTACACATATTTGATATATATTATTTAATATACTGTTTAATGTATAAAATATATGTATATTTTAAGCATCCAAATATTTATCATGAGAAAAGTAAACACTTAAGCGGACTGAACAATGACTACTGCATGCCTTGTTACCGTGTATTTGGAATCAGACAAGCGGCGCCATCACGTTCTTTTTAGGGCTTAGGGCTTCCCTCTGGGGTTCTGCCTGGGCTTGGGGGCTGGGGAGCTCGCAATGAAAGCTCTTTTCAGGTCCCACCAGCTGGGTCTTCCTTCTCTGAAGCCTGCCCCCCCCACTTTATTTGCATCTCATTAGCACCAGGGGCTTGTAGTCGCTCAGCCGCAGAGAGGCGGGGATCGCAGCTCCCTGCCCCCTCCGGGGTAGAGGTGGGTGCGGCGACGCGCTGCCCCGCCCCCACGCCCTACACTCGGATTCCCGCCCGCTTGGCTCCTTAGGAGTGTTCCCATGGCAACCGGGTGATGGCGCAGGTCGTGACGCCTGCCGAGGAGCAGCGCGGCCACCCAGTTCCCCGCCCGCCGCCAGGCTGAATTGGTGATAGGCAGGGCCTCAATCTCCCGAGATGATGGGCGATAATTGGTTTATGGAAATAGCTGAGCGGAGAAGGCGAGCTCCTTGCCAAGCCCGCTCTCTGCCACCTGGCCTCGCTCACCGCAAAAATAGGGGTGGGGGAGGGGACGTGAGGGGAGGGGCCCGGGAGCTGGGCGGTGGAAATGAAGCTTTTTTTGAGACAAGCAAGTGTTTCACCTGTTGGTCTGCAGCGCAACGTCTACCCTCCGGCCACTCTGTGGGGCTACGGTAGTTGTTACAGTAACCTGGTGTTCGTCTCAGTTCCTCCTTGGGCCTTAAGCCTGTGCTCAGGCCTATGTTGGGTGCATCATTAGGAAAATGGAGAAGAGACCTGAGGTTTGTGGGGGCTGGGGGGGAACCCCAGTTTAGGGGACAGAGGAGCTACACATAACTTTATATAAGGTGCCTGTGACAGTGTTGACACTGCTGTGGGGCTCCGGGGAAGAGAGAGCTCAACTCAGGTGGTTACTTGGAGGAAGAGGCATCATGAACAAAGCTTTGAAGGTGGGATTTCAGCAGGTGCTGGGGAGAGGGATGGGGCAGGCACTCCCCAAAAGAAAATGTGGGGAAAAGCCAGCAGGCAGGTACTGAGTGAGGCTGTTATTGGTGAAGGAGGGGAGGTACAGGGAGGTAATGGGAGGCCCTGGTGGCTCCCAGTGTCTTGGGAGGGAGCACTGCACAGTGCTTTACTGAGCAGATGATGGGCATCCATACAGGAGGTTAGCTGGAGACTCTGTGGCCTTTCAATGCCCCCTGAGAGAAGTAAGGTCCCTGGGATGGGCAGCAGACATGGATGGCATGGCAGGCCTTGCTCAGATACCAGGTTGTGAGAAGTGTGTGTTCCGACTGCAGCTAGCTGGAGGGGGGATGTGGGGGTGCATTAAAGGACAAGAACTAGGGAGATCCCCATGATAGAAATGACTAGAGTGTAGTGGGAGCCAAGGAGGAGGAGAATGGTGGTTAGTATCTTACCCTAGGATTGGGCATGGTGGGGTGGGGCACCCAGAGTCTGGGAGAGGCAGGCCCCAGATCTTCTTCATTTGACCGCCCCACCCCCACTCCAACTGAGCCTAGCCCAGGCCTCTGCAACCAGGGGCCCTGCCTCCTGAGGTCAGGTTGTGGCCAAGCCCTGCCCCAAAAGCTGTGGGATCAAGGAGTGGCCCTTCCTTCCTTCCCTAGCCCCAGTGAGCAGCATCTGCGCAGCAGGAAGATGCCAGACTTCCCATTTGCAGGGGCCCCAGCCCCTGGGTGATGCACACTTGACTTTCCCTTTGGGTACCGCAGCCCCAGCCTCAAACCTTTGGGTGCTCCTCTTCCAAATACCCACACCTTGGTTTCTGATCCAGGAGACAGCAGGCCCCACCCCACTCTCAGTAGCTACTTACACTATCACGTAAGGCCACGGCTCAGAGCCATCCTTGCAAGCAGGGAGGTTGGTGGCCCCATGGAGAGTGACTGTGATGATCTCCTTATTGGAGGGAGACAGGTGGTTGGTGACAGATTCCACAGTCTGGGTGGTGTTTAGGGGGTCCTTGGTGTCTGGGCCCTTGGTGACCTGTGGAGAAAGCCAGGGCTGAGTGGCTCTTCTGGTGGGTCACCTTCTCTTACTGCCTCCCTGTAACTCTAGTCCTTGTGTACTCCTTTCCCAGTGGCTGTTTCCCTCTCTCATTCCCCCACCCAGTCTAGAACTACGAGTCCTAAAGGGCAATTAATTGTCCTTGACATAATTTTCTCCCTACCTCTGTCCCACAACCCACATCTCTCCGTTTCCTTCTTGCCTTCCCCCAGTCCTGGACCATCACTTCCTGCAGAATGAGATGGGCCACTCCACCTTTCAAGTCCAGTCCCACCTCTAAGCCCTTACTTTTGCAGGTACTCCTTGCCTGTAATTTCCAAATCGCTCCTGCTTTTGAAGTCCTAACAATTGTCCTTCTTCTGTTTCTCCTGTAATCTCACCCCAGTTAACCTCAGGTACCTGTTTATAGCACTCTACAGTTTACAAAGCTTATCCATGGAGTTAATGCATTAACAGAGCTGAATGAATGTGTCCATTCCACATACCTTGTCCATCTTCAACCCAGAGAAGGAGAGAGGTACCTGCCCACACATGGCCTCCTAGACTGGTTGCCCCAAGCAGGCTCTCATGCAGGGGCTCAGCAGCTCAATAGTTTGTGGATTCATGGCCCAAAGGGGTATGGTGATGAGAGCAGCAGAAGCTGTGGCCTGGAGCAGTCGGGGAAGGCAGCTGGGAAGAGGAGGCCTTAAAGGGTTGGGAGAACATGCATGGGTGAAGCAGGGAAGACAAACTGGGGAGCAGAACACTGGAGCTAAGACAGCAGAGTGGGAAGGGGAGGGAGCATCTGGAGGCCCGGGGCAGGCTCAGAGTGCTTCTGGAGGCTTTAGGGAGTTGGGGCCTGGCAGGGTGTTTTTAGTGAGTTAAACACTGGGGTGGGGAGGGTGTGAACATGGGACCTCTGTGACTTGGGGTATCCTGGTCTTCCCTCTGCACTGAACCACTGACTTTCTCCCAGTGCCTGGAATTGACATTGACACAGTTGACCCCACCCTTTGTCCCTCCTGCCAATTAATTAACACTGCTGATGTTGGGGGCTACAGAGGGGCCCTCCTGGACCTTGGAGAGGAACTGTTGACCTCTTCAGGTTGGAGATGGAGCTGAGGGGGCCACTGAGAGTTGTCCCTCTTATCGAGAAAGCTCAGCTTGTCAAAGCCAGCATTTCCGGGCAGGCCCTGGTAAGGGTGGGGGAGTCCTCAGGATGGGAAGGGTCTGTGGAGACCATTGAGAATGATGACCTATTACATAGAGGGGAAACTGAGAGAGGACCTGGGTGGGTGGGGTGGGCTATGAGCTGGCAGCAGCCCCAGCAGGGAGGGTACCCTGGCTCTGTCCTGATAAGTGTCAGAGCTGGGTTTAAACCCCAAGCCACTCATGCTCTGACAGTCATTTTTCAACCAGTGAGGGCTCGGACAAGCTTGCCTGGACCCTGCTCTGCTTCCTGTATGGTGGCCCAGGTTTCCCACATACTGCCTGTTCCCTCCTTGAGCCTAGGGGTCCTATATAGGAGACCATTCCACATGGCGTGGGCCCAGCTCCCACTTGGAGATGCACAGGACCCACACCCACAGATAGGTTCTCCCATGGGGAATCAGGCCTGCTTTGTACCTAGACTGCTATGAGGCTTGCTTTTGCTAAAACTCCCTAACCCTGAATTGAGGCAGCAAACATTTACTGCATATCTTTAAATTAATTTCCTAAAATCCATGCTAAACCTTCCAAGGATGAGTGTAACCAGTTCAACCACTTTTCCATTTGCATTTGCAAATATCCTTCTTCTGTGATGTGATTAGCAGCATCCTCTCCTTTGTTTTCTGTAAAAGGTAACCACCTAGAGCAAACCTGTGCATAGTAAATGAGGACATCATGTAATGTGCCCAGAAAAGCAATAAAAGCTGGTCAAGGCAAGGGCCAAGGCTTTTCTCCTCTTGAGAGAGAAGCCGCGCTGTCCCTTTTCCTCCACATGACTCGGTAGTCCATGTGACTTTGTCTCATATCTAATCCACAATGTCCCGGACCCCACAAGCTGGGGTCCACATCAGTCCTAGGCACAGTGGCTCCTGGCTCCTGGCTCCTTGCAGCCTCCAGGCAGAGGGAAAGGGAAGGGCTGCTCTTGCATTCAGGTCTCACAGTAGTGCTTTGGGGCGACCACAGATCTGAGCCCCACCAATCCATCAGCAGATCCTGCCAGCCCTATCTTCAAACCATGTCTAGAATCTGACTCCTTCTGTCTCCACTTCAAGCACTTGGGTCCAAGACACTGGAGTTCTATACTTGCCTCTTAATTGCTTTCTTGCTTCCCTCTGGCTTTCTTCTGCCCTGCCCACCTCACAGAACAGCCAGAGTAAACCTTTACAAATTTCAAGCAGACCTCAGTCCTCTGCTCAAATCCTGCAGTAGCTCCTCATTTCACTCAAAGCCTCTCAACGCTGTAAGGACCTGGGCGCTCTGGCCCAGGAACTGACCTCACCTCATCCCTCGGCCCCTTGCCCACTTGCTCAAATCACACTAGCCTCCTGGTGGTTTCTCACAGCTGTTTCCCTGGCTGCCCTATCTGCCTGGCCTGTCTGACCCTACACAACTATTTCTGTGCCTTGTTCCCTCACTTCCTACACGTCTGACTCATCAGAAAGGCCCTCCTGGTACAAGCTGGCGTCCTTGCCTAACAGGATGACTAATTAGGAGGTGAGAACCCCTTCCCTAGCCCCAGAAGTGCCAGCCCTACAAGGAGACCCCTCCCCTTGACTGCCCCCACCCCGTCCTCTACCTCAGGACCCAGCAGGCCCTCTCACCATCTGCAGAGGTGTTGAGTTACCCCTCCTCCTCTCCCCTATTCCTCTGTCAGGCCAGGGTGGAGGAGGGGGTGGGGGAGGTCAGCAGAAGGAGCAGAAGGAACATCTGTCTGGTGGAAGGGGCAGGGAAGGAAACAGCCACAGAGCCACCTTCTCCCCGCATAGTCAGAGAGGCTGCCTTTCCCAGGTCCCACCCTCACGGCTACTCCATACCCCCCACCCCATCCTGCTTACTCCCCAGCAGGTTTGCTCTCCTGGTTTGGTGGTATAGGAGCAAGACTAGCAGCCTGGATATCCAGAGACCAAAGTTTCAGCCCAGCTCTGCCCCCAACTCTCTGTACGACCCTAATTTTCCCTTCTGCTCAGTGGGTATATCTGGAGTGGTTTGTAATGCAGTCTTCCCAATAATTAGCTTAAGGTTTCTGAAATGATGTCAGGAGAGGCAACTAACATCCCTATCACCCCCAGATTCCCAGGTGCAGCCTTCAGTGGTGGCCCCAGCCCAGTCATGGCTGTTGGGGCACAGAGCCTATGGCAAACACCCTTTGGCCCCAGATATGAGGGCCCAGCTGAATGGCAGTTGCCTAAGAGTTCTCACTGACTGACTACCTGGCAGCCCCAGAGCCCAACCAGGTCCCCCTCCCTGTCCTCTATATCCTCTGCCTCCTCTTTGCCTCCGCATGTGGGACAGCCTTCTGGGGAAATAAAGCTTGCAGGGGTTTGGGAGGAAACTGCTTGTGCTTCACTTCTGGGCTTGAGACCAGCTGCCAGGCTGGTGCCTTCTGGTGACACTGCAGGCACGTGCCTCTGGGCAGTCTGGGCCCACGGCCAGGGAGGCCTGGGGCCAAATGGGAGGCCACAAGGGGGTGGAGGGGGTCAGTGGGCCAAACCTTCTGCCTTCCACCGCATCAGGACCAATGAGTGTCCTCTCCCACCCCCACCCTCCTGGGCCTGCACTGAGGAATGATCAGGGAATAGAAAATGCATGTGCTGAGTTTTGCAGGTGGGGCAACAAGTAAACTGTAGGTGATGGTGAACCCCCTTCAGTCTCAGGTCCCACAAACCCGTCTGTGGGAGTCAGATGGACTCTGGAGAGGCAGTTCGCTTTCCTGAATATACTGCCTGAGGCTGGCAGCAGAGCTAGGTACTTACTACCTAACACTGCTGGTGTAGACATCGGTGGGCAGGTCGTGGGCTGCATTTGCAGGTTGGGGTTTAGTTGGCATACAGAGCAGTTCTCTTAGCTCTTCCACCAGGGCCTGGCACACAGAAGTTGCTCATTCCAATGCCTCACGCTCAGACAGTTGGCCTTACCCTCAATAAGCCAGGATTAATGTCCCAAGGGGCCTGGGCTGCCTATTTTGGAATATGTGTGCTGGGGGAAGGGGTAAGGGTGGGAGTAGGAAGACCAGACCAGCAGTGGAGTTAATGGCCCATCCATTCAGCTTCCAGGGCTGGGGCTTACATTGGTCCCAGTGGGGAGCTGATGGAAGGAGACTCCTTCACCCTTCCAGATCCTGTTCCCAGCCACCCCTCCGTCCCAGCAATCTGGGAGGCCAGGAAGCCCAGTTCCACCTCCAGAAGGGTCTTGCATCTGAAAGCCAGGGGCCAAAGGAGGGAGCACTGGGCTGGGAGGCATGGGGTCTGGCTTCCTCTGATCAGTAATTTGGGCAAGTTATTAGACTGCAGAGGTCTCAGTGTCCCCAGGTGTATCACAAGGGCTTTGAGTTAAAAATGGCCCCTCATGTTCCTTCTAGCTTTTCAGCCTCTAAACTTGCCTGGGAGTCCTGGTGGCCATGACAGCTCTTTCCTAGCCTCCTAGGAAATGGCACACCGCTGAGCTCACACGCACAGCAGGAAGTGGGGCTGCCATCTGCCTGCACTCGCTGCTGTCCCTGCTCTGTTCTCACCGGCATTCTCTGGATGTAACCTGCTTTCCCCGGGGCCATAGTGTATAGATACGCCTTAGGCTCATAAGCCGGGTAGCCAGTACTCACGGGTACTAGCAAGGAGTTGTGTTTGGAGCAAGAGAGGCTTTTCAAAGGATGACAAAAAATTCAGAAATAAAAAGATTGATAGATTTGATAACTAAAAAAGTTACACAAACTTCTACAATGGTCCAAAATTCACCACAATACAAAGATAAACAGGAAAAAACATTTGGGATTTATATAAATGTATGAATATCCCTAATACACAAAGTGCACTGAAATCCGCAAGCATTGCCACAATAAAGAGACATGAATATGAATATGTAATACTATGTGCACATTATGAACACCCTTATAGGGATTGTTTCCCAAAGCTATCAATCAAATAAGCCTGCTCCTCCTCAGGGCACTCTTCCTCCCACACACATCTAGCTTGAGTGGGCAGGTGGCGATGAGCTTCAGGAACCAGTTGGCAGCTTAGGGCCCTCAGGTCAGGCCAGCCTTGTGCTTGACCCCTGTGGGTCACTTACTGAGAGGAAGCTTAAAGGGGGAGGTGGAGGCAAAGAGAGGAGCCAGCTGTGGGTACAGGACACCCAGAACCATAGACTCCAAAGTCAAGGGTAAGAGAATATAAACCACCTTGGGGTATGGCCCCCCCTAGCTATCTGATTTATTTGATCTAAGAGGGTGTTCCCAAGGACCTGTGTGGCCTTGGTCTTATCTCTCTCTCTCCATCATCCCTGCTGGTGGGTGGCACAGCCGAGGGCATGGCCT